TGAACCATCTCGCCAGCCCCTTATTTGTTAGCGAGTATGGAGTATTGTTTGAAATGGAGTATTGTTATGTTATCACCTGATCTCCAACTGCTGGTGTTCAGTGGTCCTCCTGCCTTAGATTTCTGAGTAGCTGGCCTTACAGGTATATGCCACCATGTCTGGCTTGGATTACAAATGTAAGCAGATGGCCGGAGAAGACATCTCTAAAAAAAAAAAAAACAGGAGGATTTGAGAGACCAAGGAGATAGTCAGCAAAATGCTGGCCCTGCAAGCATGAAGATGGAAGATCGGAGTTTAATCCCCAGAAGAGAAAAAGAGTAGATGGTGGCATTTTTTTATCCATTTCTGGCCAGGGGAAGCCAAGACAGTGCATTTCTCACGGCCAGTTGGCCAGTCTAGCCCTACTTGGTGAGCTTTGGGACAAACAAAAGACTCTGTTGTCTCAAAGCAAAAGCAAAAACAAACAAACAAGCAAAACAAAAACAGGAAAAAAAAAACCATCAAGGTGAAGGGCTCTTGAACAATAGTTATAATTGACCTCTGACCTGTACAGGTACTCTGGCACTCATACATATACACCCTTCATACACATACACAACACACAGATACACACACACAAATGCATGTTTAATTAAAAAAAAAAGATTTGCAGGGAGATACAAAGTGAGAGAATGAATCCCACGGTTTGGTGGTAGGATAAGGTTTCAGGAAGACTCCAGCTGCAGAAGACTGAAGACAGGAGCATCTTTGACAGGCAGACAGCATGGCTGGAGAGAGTGGCACAGATGGGAACAGTTGGCTGTACTTGGTCAGGTACAGAAAGGTAGAGGGATGGGGGCAGATCATATCAGCACTTAATGGCCTTGCTTTTTACTCTCACAGAGATAGGAACAGACTTGCTGTCACAGAGAACTGAATTTAAATATGAACTCAGACATTTACTAGCATTGTGGCCCTGAGCAACTCTCTCTCCTCTCCTCTCTCTCTTTCCCCCTTTCCCTCCCCAACTGCTAGGATTACAAGTGTGAACCACCATGCCCCGTTCCTGTTCCTCTTTCAAATTTTAACCTTATTAAAGCTTGAATAAATACCTTGTTGTCTCAAATGGCCCATTCAAACCACTGGACATTCTATTCTGAAATCAACATCTGAACAGGAAAACAAGGCCTCCTCCAGTCATGACCACACAGAGCGCTTATCATTTGCCCAATCTTGTAGGAGAAAAAAAAAAGAAACAAACAAAAACAACCGACTACCACCGCCTTAAGGCCTCAGCCACCCAAGGCAGAGATCTGGACAATTCTGACTCTATCTTCTCCCCCCTCCCTCTACTGGCTAGTCATTAAACCTTCTCTATCTCCTCCTCCTTTTCTTCTCTGTTTGGACAGAGTTTCAGGGCAGGGGGCTGCAGTTTAATTACTGGTGAAGTACTTGCTTTACAGGTTCAATCTCTAGCCTATCAAAAACTATCCCCAAAGAGATCGGGTCTTCCCTATGTCAAACTGGCCTCAGGCGAGTTTGAACTAATTTATTGCCTCCACCTCCTGGGTCCTGGATTGGTAGGTGTGCAGTTCAGCCCAGCACTGAACATATGCAAGTCAAGAACTTGTATCAATTCACCTACATTGCCTCTTTATGATGGCCACTTATTTCCAGGGTGGGAGACAGGGTCTTATCAAGCAGGCCATGATAAGTCACGGAGATCTGGCTGCCTCTGCCTCATGAGTGCGGGAATCGAAGCCATGCGCCACAAAAGCCCTGCTTACCACACCTTTTAAATAAATTGTGTATTTATTCTTGTGTGGGGGCACACACGTGCCATGGCACACATATGGAGGTCAGAAGGCAACTTCTGGGAATCTCTCATTCCAACATTTGGGTCCCTGATAGCCAATGCAAGTTATCAGGCTTGGTGGCAGACATGTTTTTAACCCACTACGACATCTTGCCAGCCTTTTATTGTTCTGTTTTAACTAACATATATTAACTATACATAATAATGGGTTTCATATGACATTTTCCGTAAGTGTACAGAATGTATTTTGGTCATAGTCATACATACCCGAGTAATCTCTCCAGCCCCCTCGAAATCCCACTGGTCCCCGACCCCTCCCCAACTAGTCCCCCTTTCTGCATCCACGATGTTCTTCCCAATGTGTTTCATTAGGCTTGCTTACGGGAGACTGTGCACTGTATATCAGTAACTTCCAGCACTGAAGCAAATGTCTCTCTTCCCCCTATTAAACATTAATTGGCTGTGAGTCTTCGGGGAGGGGTGGGGCCTTCTGCGCCTCTCCCTCCTCACTGACAGGATGGGCCCAATCTTGAGCAGATCTAAGGAAGCACAGCTGCTGTTGAGTTCAAAAGGGCCATGACCACAGCATGCCCGGAAGTCAGCATTTGACGCCAGCACTTCCACCCCTTCCTCAGGCCTTTTCCATGATGCTCTCTGAGCCTCGGAGGGAGTGTTATGGACCTCCCAGGCGTGGCTGAACACTCCACCGTCTCTTCTCATCACTCTGAGGGTTCAGAGTCTCCCCAGAAACCACTGCCCACCGCAAAAAGACCCTTCTCTGAAGAAAGCTGAGAGCAGTATTAATCTATACGCATAAACGTAGCTCTTCAGAAGGCAGTTTGACTGGCACATCATGTCCATCCAGCGAAACAACAGTTGTGTCTTCTACTAGTGCCCGTGACCTCACAACACAGGCTTTTGGTTAGGTTTACAGTACCAGATGGGGAATCTTTCTGTGGTGCAGGTCTGAAATCCAACCAAAAGCATTAGTAGTTAGTCGTTAGTTGTTCCCTATATGCACTGGCAGTGGGAATATCTTGCTTGTCTGGTCTGTTGTGTTGCATGCAGGTACACAGCTCTCTCTCTCTCTCTCTCTTTTCCCCACCACCACCGTGTGTGTGTGTGTGTGTGTGTGTGTGTGTGTGTGTGTATTTTGAGACAGGATCTCAAAATAACTACGGCTATAACCACGCTGGCCTGGAACTCCCTAATGTAGACCATGCTAGCCCGGGCCGGGCCTCACACAAATCTATCTGCCTCTGCCTCTGCCTCCCATGAGCCACCAGGACTGGCTCTCCCATGTTCTTTCACATCTGTTGCTTACATTTTCCCACTGGTAAAATTACAGAGTCAGCAGCCAAATTAATAGGGCGTTGGCTCACATGCCTCTTATCAGCCCTGAGTTACAGGAAAGCAGGCCTACGGTGTGGGCCACTGTCTTACAATTTTTTTCAATAAGTTTTTCAGACATGGCAGTACAGATGGTATTACAGTGTTACAGTGCTGGGGATCAAACCTGGGGCCTCAGGCCCGAAGCTCCGTACTACTGAGCCACGGCCCTATCATTTTTCTTAATCCTAAATACTCAATTTCTTGGTGTTGCGTTGAATTATCATTCCAGGTGAATGTTATAAGTGATGGCACAGATAAACTACTGAACGAGGCCACGCCACGGGCAGAAAGAAAGATCTATAGGAGAGAAAACTGTCAAGGCTAGAAAGAAGGGGTGGGGCTAGAAAGAAGAGCGAAGTGGCAACAAAGGAAGCAGAATTTATATGACAGTGAGCAAGGATGGCAGCTGAGCTGATACAGGCTCCCCAGACTGATCGGGAACTAGGTGCCCTTGCCCGAGGTGGTTGATGTTTGGGGGAATGTTGGGGGGGTCCTGGAGGACTGAGGGTGGTTCACTCTACTCTGTCCCTTATGTCTTTGCCGTATGAGCAGAGTTTAAGAAATACTTTGTTGAGCTTAAAATCTCCATGTATGTGTTTATTTGATGTATACATGTGCCAGAACATATGTATGTACACCATATATGTCCTGTACAGGTGCCCGTGGATGCCAGATGAGGGTGTCAGATCCCTGGGAACTAGAGTTACAGGTAGTCTTGGATTGGGGACTGAACCCAGGTCCTCAACAAAAGTGGCAAATGCTCTTAACCGCTTAGCCATCTTCCCAGCTTATATTTAGTTTACCTATATTTTATGTGTTATGAGTGTTTTGCAAGGATGTATGTATGTATGTTAGCACATTGATGCCAGTGCCTGAGGAATGGGATCTCCTGGAAGGGGAATTACAAATGGTCGTTAGCCAGCATGTGGGTGTTGGGGACCTCTGCAAGAGCAGCAAGTGCCCTTAACTGCTAGCCACCGCTCTAGCCCCTATTTACTTATTCTTGAAAAATCTCACAATGTTGTTTAAGCCTTGAATGGTTCTGCCGGAGAAATCCTTCCCGCAGCTTTCTGAGGTTCTCAGATGTGTGTACTGGGCCTGGTCTCCCGTATTTAAAGTTTTGGTAGGCATAGTAAATTAAACAAGTTTGCTGTTGTTTCCTATTAAACTTATGGCCAGGCAAGGTTCTAGCACCGAGCTTTTTCTCCAGGCCCTTGGAGGCACACAAACTATTGAGTGTCACTGCTGAGGTCTGTAGCAGCACCACGCTGGCCTTAATACTTCCGATTTATAACACGCTCTCCTTTTCCATGGCGACTCTTTCCCTCCTCGCTCCCTCCAGCGGCTGTGCTCAAAATTTAAATGTAGTATCCAAATCAGTTTCAAGAGAGCGGATCAAAACATTCAGGTCGTCGAAGCTGGTTAAAAAAAAAAAAAAAAACCTATCCTAGAGATGTCCTATGACGTAAAGCTCTGCAGTTACCCGCCAGTGCACGACTCTATAGCCTGGACCCCACCGCGGCAGCAGCAGCGCCGCCGCACTTGGCGCACGCGCTCTCGCACGCGGGTGCCGGAAAGCGGGCGCGTTCCTTGCCCTCTCGGCACCCTTACTTCGCGGGAGAGGTTTCCTGCCCATCAGCTTCCTGCCGGAAGTGCGGAGGGGATGCTGGTTGGCGGGTTCGCTGGATCTGCGCTGGAGGGGTTTGGGCATTTTGGGGGTGCGGACCGCGCGTGTGCTCGCGTGGGTTCAAGTCCACGCTGCTGGGATCTGTGGCGTGAACGGAGGCGTGTTGCTGGCGTAAGTGCACGCGCGGGAGGACCGGTGCAGGCCCCTGAGCCTCGCGTTTCCCGCCTGGAAAGGCGTGTAATGCAGTTCTAGTCGGGGCCCCGCGCATGCCCCGGGGCCTCTCTCTCAGTCTCCCTGGCCTCGGTCCTGGGACGCTTTCGGATCTTCTGTTTCGGGTGTCACCGTGCTGCCCTGGCGGGCCGAAATCCTCTGCGTAGAGCCTTGTGGCCTCAAATTTACAGTGGTCCCCGCAGCTCTGCTCCCGGGTGTTGGGATTACAGATGGACTCCCAGCGCGGCCAGCTTTTATTTCTTTAGGTTTGGAAACGGGGCCTCTCCCTATAGCCCAGGGTGGCTTCACCTTTTTAAAGTTTAGTTTGTATGTCGGTTGTTTCTCGTCTGAGCCACGTAGCCTGCGGGGGGAAGGGAGCTGTGTGGTTAAATGCACGCCCCGGCCTTATTCAAAAAACAGACGGTCGGTTCCAGGACAAGGGGTTGCGCAACTGCCTCAAGATGACACGGGAAACTTTTACAAGGGTCAGAGCGCGGGACTCGCGTGGGTTTGGCCGCATGTCGGTGACCAGAACTCTTGTCCCTGCGCCGTCCGTTTTCGGAACTGGCTGTATTACTTGCATGTTGAGAGTTTGGAGTGAGTCTTGAGTTCAAGGCCGGTGCAGCCCCTCCACTCCAGTGTACGGATGAGTGTGACTCTTGCAGGTGGATCCCGTGCGCAGCCGATTGGAAGATCTGTCGCCTTGCACCTAATTAGAGGCATCATGGAGGCACCCCCAGTCACCATGATGCCCGTCACTGGGGGCACCATTAACATGATGGAGTACCTCCTGCAGGGTGAGTGAGCCAGGGAGCTGGCACTACCGAGTTTTCTTTTTCCTTTTTTTTTTTTGGTCCGAGTAGGTGGAGATGACTTAAGAGTAACTGGAAGGTTCCCGTCATACACTGTAACTGTGTAAAGGGTGGGGGTGGGGTGGGGGTGGAAGGTGGTTCAGTGGCCGGAAACTCACCAACTAGACCAGGCTGGCCTCAAGAGCTGGGATTACAGATGTGCACACAACTTCCTTCCTTCCTTCCTTCCTTTTTTAAAAAAAAAATTATAACTTAAAATTTTCTTTTAGGGGGCTGGAGAAATGGCTTAGTAGTTCAGAGCACTGGTTCGGAGGACCCAGGTTCAATCCCAGCAGCCACATGGCAGCTCAGAGCTGTCTGTAACTACAGTTCCAAGGGGTCTGACACCCTTACACAGACATACATATAGGCAAAAAACAAAACAAAAACAAAACCATTGGTGCACATTAAATAGGTTTTAAAATTTTATTTTATGTGTATGAGTGGTTTACCTACATGTATGTATGTGACTCAGGTCAGACGAGAGTGTTCAGTTCCCTGAAAAGAGTCGTGGATGGTGTGTACTGGTGGCAAATGAACCCAGGTCCAGTGCTCTTAATCGCTGAGCCATCTCTTGTAGCACTGATTTTTAAGCTCTATTTTATTTGGGGCGTTTAGGGCCCTGCCTCCCCTCCACCAACCCTTCATCCTAGATAGGAGAGAAAGGAGGTTAGTGGGAGAGGGGCCATAGTTTTCCTTAGCTGCTTCCTGCTGGTTAGGGTCGTTGGGTTCCTTGGGGCAAGTCCAATCCTTATTTCAGGAGATCTCCAACCTCTTAGGCTGTGTCAGCAGCATGGGGGATGGAGTGTCACAGCCGTGGGGAGCAGCACCAGCCTTGTTGTTTCTTAGAGCCCCTCCCCCCACCTCTGGCCTTTATTCCCTCTCACAGTCCTCAGAATTAAACTGTCTGCAGCTGGCAGAGAGCCCACCTCAGCCCACAGGAGGCAAACAGTTTGCTGCTGTGGACGATCCGGATCGGTCCCATAGCCCATACCAGGGATTAAAACAAAAAAACATGTTTACATAACAACTGAGATTTTAAAGACACCAAAACTCTCCAGTACCTAGGCTGACCTCTTACTGGCCATGTGGCCAAGGATGGCTTTGACCTTATAGTCTTCCTGCCTGAGCCTAAGTGCGTGGATCATGCTGGCTTGTACCCCATCTGATGTGGATATATGTGGATGTATGTTTTGTTGAGGTTTCTTTCAGAGTTATTACTTCGTTGTTTATTCACGTCAGCTTGTGTGTCAGTCAGTTCCTGCTGTTTGTTGCTTGGTAGCTTCCCCTCATACCCATATAAATACAGGTATGAATAGGTCACAGTGCACTTTCCGATCTAGTTTTTGACCACAATGAAAAAGCCGCTGTGCGTCCTTTTATAAGTGTTCTTTGGGTTTGCTCTCCCTTTCTGTTAGGATTGTTGATCGAGACAGCTACCCTCCGAGTAAAATGTAGTGGTTTCAGAGGGGTGACTCAGATCATTGTAAAAAGTATGAGAAACTGCCAGGTGTGGGACACACCTTTAACCCCAGCACTCAAAAGGCAGAGGCAGGTGGCTTCATGATTTTGTGGCCATCCTTGTCTGGGTAGTGAGTTCCAGGACAACCAGAGCTACACAAAGAAAGCCTCTTTGAAAACTGTGATAGTTCATGCCTATAAATCCCAGCAGTTGGGAGGTTGAAACATGAGAATTGCTGTGAGTTCAAGGCTAACCTGGGCTATATAGTGAGTTCTAGGCTCCTAAACCATCTTAGGTAAGATATGCCTTTAGGGAGGTTGAAGAGATAGCTCAGGGGTTAAGAGCACTGTCTTTTCTTTCAGAGATCCTAAGTTCAACTCCCAGCACCCACATGGTGGTTCACAACCATCTATAATGTGATATGATGCCCTCTTCTGGCATGTAGGTATACATGTAAATAGAGCACTCAAACATTAAATAAATCTTTAAAAAAAAAAAAAAAGCCTGCCTTTAGAAAAAGTAGGTTTTGGGGGTCTGGGCTTTTGTTTTGGATACTGGTATTGAACCTAAGGCCTTGAGAATGCAAGGCAATGATCTGCCACTGAGCTTAAAACATCTGAGAAGGTCTCCCTGAGATCCCCAGGCAGGCCCCAAGCAGACTATGTTTGTGCTTTGGGCTCCCTATCAGCTAGGATTACAGGCCCAGCTGCATTCATGTTTCTTAATCTCTACTTTGTTTTCAAGACAGGGGTTCTCTGTGTAGCCCTGGCTGTCCTGGAACTCTGTAGACCAGGCTGGCCTGAACTCAGAGATCACCTGCCTCTGCCTCCTGAGTGCTGGGATTTAAGGCATGTACCATCACTGCCCACCCTACTCTGTACCAACTACATCAAATGTCACAACTACTTACTTGACTGTAAGGGAGCTGATTTTTGTCTTTAAGACAGGGTCTCACAGCCGGGCATGGTGGCACACGCCTGTAATCCCAGCACTCGGGGAGGCAGAGGCAGGTGGATGGCTATGAGTTTGAGGCCAGCCTGGTCTACAAAGTGAGTCCAGCACAGCTAACACTACACAGGGAGACCTTGTCTAAAAAGAAAGATTTTTATTATTATTATTTTTTTTTTTTAAGATTTACTTATTATTTATACAGTGTTCTGCCTGCATGTGTGCCTCAGGACAGCAGAGGGCATCAGATCTTACTATAGATGGTTGTGAGTCACCCTGTGGTTGCTGGGAATTAAACTCAGGACCTTTGGAATAGCAGCCAGTGCTCTTAACCTCTGAGCCATCTCTCCAGCCCAAGATTTTTTTTTTTTTGAAGAGTGTGTGTGTGTGTGTGTGTGTGTGTGTGTGTGTGTGTGTGTGTGTGAATGAATATGTGTATGCCCATCTTCACAATTGCTCTTGCACAACATTTTGTTGGAGTCATTTCTCTACCACCGTGTGGCTCCTGGGGAACCGAAAAGTCCTCAAGTTTAGCAGAAAACTTTCTTTACTTGATAATCCATTTGGACAGTCTTTAATTAATTTTTTTTATTACATTTTATTAGAGAGGAGTCTCCTGCATGTCACAGCATACCTGTAGAGGTCAGGGGACATGTGGAAATTGGGTCTTTTCCTTCACTGTGTGGGTACAGAGGCAGCAGGTACCTCTACTCACTGAGCCATTTCATTGGCCCCTCCAAAGTGTTCTGGAGCAAAACATTTCATTTTTGGCCTTGAGCAATTGTCGTTTGTCTTTTTATTTTTGGAGTCTGGGTCTTTTTTTTTTTTTTTTTAAGTTGTTTTTATGTGTGCACGTGTGTCAGGGTGTGGCGTGTGCATGTGAGGCTAGAGGTGTGGGATCCTTGGAGTTGGGGTCTCAGGCAGTTGGGAGCCACCAGATGTTCAGACCTGAACTATGGTCCCCTTCAAGAGCAGCATAAATAAACTCTTAACCACTGAGCCATTTTTCCATTTCCTGGGTTTTCCAGCAGTTCTACTGCCTCAGTGTCCTGAGTGCCGTCGCCTGGCTGACTATAACAATGCTGTTTCCGTCGTTGCTTAATCTTTTGTGGTGCTCGGGATTGAACCCAGCGCCCTCTGCCACTGCGCTACGTGCCCCACCTTACAGCCTCCCTCTCTCCTTGTGGTACTTTGATCAAGCCCAGGGACTTGCCTTCCGAGCTCCTGCTCGGCCGCTGATCCTCACTCGGCTACAATTATTTATTTCCAGCAAATGAAACTCTTCCTTTTATGGCACAATTCAAAATTTTCTTTTCATATAATTATACTTCAGAACAAGAAGCTGGGAGTGGCGGCGCATGCCTTTAATGCTAGAATTTGGGAGTCAGAGGCCGGCAGATCTCTGTGAGTTCGAGGCCAGCCTGGTGTACAGACTGAGTTCCAGGACAAAAAAAAAAAAAAAAGAATAAAAAAGAAAGGAAACTGGCTGTGGGCCAGTGAGACAGTGGTTACTGTGCTTCAGCCTGACACCATCACCAAGACAGCTCTTATAAAAGAAAGCATTTATTGGGGGCTTGCTTACAGTTTCAGAGGGTTGGTTCCTGATCATCATGGTGAGGAATATGGCAGCAGGCAGGCAGGAGCTGAGAGCTACGTCCTGATCTGCTGGCAGAGAGAGAGAGCCCACTCCCAGTGACACACCGCCAACAAGGGCATTCCTCCTAACTCTTCCCAAATAATCTACCAACTAGGGACTAGACACTCAAATATATGAGCCTTTGGGGGCACTCGAGGCACCACAGGGCACTTGCTTCCCTGACAGCCCGAGTTCAATCCGTGGGACCCAGGGGTGGAGGGAGAGAACCAGTCCTAGCGGGTTATCTTCTGACCAACATATACGTGCCATCATATTCTGTCTGTTTCTGCCACTGCATTGCATATTCTTAAATGTAAAGCTAAGTATAGAAAAGTTTTAAGTAAATCAAAAGAATTCCGTGGATTGAGCCTATGAAATGACGCGCAGATCTATTTATTTTGTATGTGTATGTGTTTGTCCTTTGCTAGTTTCATGACCCTAAGGGAAATGAAATCCTGGACTCACTGTGCTTTTACCTCTTCAGGAAGTGTTTTAGACCACAGTTTGGAAAGTCTCATCCATCGCCTTCGTGGCTTGTGTGACAACATGGAGCCCGAGACTTTCCTTGATCACGAGATGGTGTTCCTTCTTAAGGGCCAGCAGGCCAGCCCGTTCGTCCTGAGGGCCCGGCGCTCCATGGACAGGGCAGGGGCCCCCTGGCATCTGCGGTACCTGGGACAGCCCGAAATGGGGGACAAGAACCGCCACGCCCTGGTGCGCAACTGTGTAGACATTGCCACATCTGAGAACCTCACAGACTTCCTCATGGAAATGGGCTTCCGCATGGACCACGAGTTCGTTGCCAAAGGACACCTGTTCCGGAAAGGTATCATGAAGATCGTGGTGTACAAGATTTTCCGAATCCTGGTCCCGGGGAACACGGACAGCACAGAGGCCCTGTCGCTCTCCTATCTTGTGGAATTAAGTGTTGTGGCGCCAGCTGGGCAGGACATGGTCTCTGATGACATGAGGAACTTTGCAGAGCAGCTCAAACCTCTGGTTCACCTGGAAAAAATAGACCCCAAAAGGCTTATGTGATTAGGAATTTGTGTCCGTCTCTGAGGTAGGCGAACAAGTGCCCAGTTACTGCTGCCAGCCAGGCCCACTGACCTCAGGAAGGTGTATGGTGAAACAGTTTGGTTCCTTTGAACTGTCTCTTTTTTTTTTTCTCCCGATGACAGAGTTTCACCATGTAGCCCTGGCTCATCTGGAACTCACTACATAAACCAGCTAGCCGGTCCCAGAGGTCCCCTGCACTTCCCACTAGTGAGCCCGTGTTAAAGGCTCTCCTTATTACCCCTGGCAGTTTCTTGTTGGCAGTCTTTTCCAGTGAAAGGCCCAGGCAACATGGAGATTTGCTCAAGCCCTCCCTCCACTCAGAGAACCGGAAGGCAAAACGTCAGAAAACAACTCTGATAATTGTTTTGCCTTTTTTCTTGTTTTTAAAATGTTTTCTTATTGCTTTATTTATTTTTTGTTTTCTTCATGTTTTTAATTGTTCTGTTTACAAAGTGTGTAACAGTGTCATGAGCTGACATTGTGGTAATAAAGACAGAAAAGAACAATTGTGATTCTGATCCTCACTTTTTTTTTTTCCTCCAAGACAGGGTTTTTCTGTGTAGCCTTGGCTGTCCTGGACTCGCTTAGTAGACCAGACTGGGCTCAAACGCAAAGCGATCCGCCTGCCTCTGCCTCCCGAGTGCTGGGATCACAGGTGCACCACCGCCCAGCTCTTCCTAACTTCCTATTTATTATTAACTCCTTAAGTATTTACTGTTATGTTAATGTTTTACTGTTGTCATTGTCATGGGTGGTGGGTGTGGGCCCGAGGCCTCTCCAGGACCCACGTGGTGGAGAGCCAATCCCTGCAAGGTGTCGCCCTCTATCTCCACATACTTGTGGGGACTCCGGCACACCCACACACAAATTCAATATAATAACGGGTTTTTTGGAGTAGCTAGTGGCTGGAGAGATGGCTTAGCTGCTAAAGAGCACTGGCTGCCCTTGCAGAGGACCCAGGCCTACTGCCCACTTGGTTGCTAAAACCCTCTGTAACTCCGCTTCTAGGGGATATGATGCCCTCTTTTCAACCACACACCCACCGGGCACACACATACTGCAAAGATGTGCAGGAAAAAGAGGCCAGGTGGCACACACCTTGAACCCCAGCAATCGGGAAGCAGAGGCAGACGATCTTTGTGAGTTTGAGGCCAGTCTGGTCTACAGATGGAGTTCCAGGACAGCCAGGTCTGTTACATGAAGGAACCCTGGGTGGCGGGTGGATTTGGGGAGCCTCATAGTTTCCTATCTGAAGAGGTTAGAGTGTAAAGTCAGTCTTTTTTTCTTTCTTTTTGTTTGTTTTTTTGAGGCAGGGTTTCTCTGTGTAGCCTTGACTATCCTGGATTTACTTTTGTAGACCAGGCTGGCCTCCACCTCCCAGATTGCTGGGATTACAGGCGTGTGCCACTGTGCCCAGCACCCCTTCTTCCTCTTGGGAGTTACTTCTCTCTTTTCCTTAATAAATTTACCTTTGCTCAGTTAATATGTATAAATACATTTGCACGCATTCTATACACTCATCTTCCAAAAGGTTGCACACCTTAGATTTGCATGTGCATAGCTTGGCATTAAATGTTGACAAATATGATTATTATATTCTATTCCATATTCCATAATTTCTTTTTGGGGGCTGTTTGGTTTTTTTGAGTTTGGTTTGTTTGTTTCTTTTTTTTTTTTTTTTTTTTTTTTTTGAGACAGTCTCATTGTGTGGCCCTGATTGGCCTGAAACTTTTTTTTTTTTTTTTTTTAAGGTGTATTTATTTATTTATTTATTTTTATGTGTACAGGGTTCTGCCTACATGTATGCCTACAGGCCAGAAGAAGGCACCAGATCTCATTATAGATGGTTGTGCACCATGTGGTTGCCAGGAATTGATATCAAGACCTCTGGGAGAGTAGACAGTGCTCTTCTGAGCCAGCTCTCCAGCCCGTGGCCTGAAACATTTTGTAGACCAGGCTGGCCTTGAACCCACAGAGCTCCAACTTGCCCCTACCTCTTGAGTGATGGGTTAACTGCCTGTGCCAGCTTGTCTGACCATAACTCACTTTGGATCTTAGTTTGTCATTCAAACTGTTCTGTGAGTGGTGGGGTGCAGCTCAGGAGAGACTGCTTGGCTAGCATGTACAAGACCCTAGGTTGCATAACCAACGCCACTCAAACACGTACACAAACTATCAAGCCAGGCAGTTTACCCTCACTTGTCCCAGCTACCAGAGAAGCTGAAGTGTGAGGATCACTTGAGCCCAGAAATTTAAGATCCAGTTTGGACAATACAGCAGGACCCAGCTGGCGGTGGTAGCACACACCTTTGATCCTAGCAGTGCAAGAGGCAGGCAGAGCTCTGAGTTTGAGGCCAGCCTGATATACAGAGTGACTTCCAGGACAGCCAGGGCTACATAGATAGACTCGGTCTAAAAAACTTTTTAAAAGAACACCAAAAATGCATGTGAGTCTATAATATATTACAGTACATACATTATATGCACATATGCCATTACTATTTCTATACTGTTCTAAAGAAACAAGAAGGAAGAAAGGCAGAGCTGGTGGGAGAAGGGAAGGCAAGATGGCTCAGCCAGGAAACAGCCTGAGGACCTGAATTTGATACCTGGGACCCACAGGGTGGAAAGAGAAAATTGATTCCCACAAATTGTCCTCTGATCTCCACAAATATGCTTAGGCATGGAGACTTTCATGTAATAAAAATAAATAAATGTAAAAGAAAGAGAGAATCCTAACCAGATTGGTGGCACACATCTTCAGTTCTAGGTCCGTGGAGGCTGAGGCAGGAGGATTACAAATTTGAGGCTAGTCTGGAACTTAGAAATATTCCTCAAGCTGGGTGTAGTGGCACATGCCTTTAATCCCAACAGAGGTAGAGATAGGCATATCTGTGAGTTCGAGGCCAGCCTGGTCTACAAAGTGAGTCCAGGACAGCCAAGGCTACACAGAGAAACCCTGTCTCAAAAATAACCAAAAACGAAAAAAAAAAAAAAAAAGGATTCCATAGCCAGGCATGGTGGCACATGGCTTTTAATCCTAGCACTCAGGAAGCAGAGGCAGGCAGATCTTTGAGTTCAAGGCCAGTCTGGTCTCTAGCATAAGTTCCAGGCCAGCCAGAGCTACACAGAGAAACCCTGTATAGCCAAACAAGGAAGAGGAGGAGAAGGAAAGAACACATTGTGACAAAGAGTCCTACTTTGTTCTCTGTTGCTGTGGTAACTACCGGGACCAAGAACAATTAGGCTGCAGAGATGGCTCAGTGATTAAGGGCACTGGCTGCACTTTCAGAAATCCTGAGTTCAAGTCCCAGTGTTTCCGTGGGAGGTCACGACTGTCTGTAACTGTAATCCCGTGAAATCCAATTCCTTCTAGCAAAAATGCTTACAGTCAAAATGCCCACATACATTAGAAAAAAACAAACCAATCTGGGGAGTTAAAGGCTTATTTCCTCTTAGAAGGCCAGGTTACAGTCCCTCACTTCTGGCTTATGCCGCCTCCAAGTTCCTGCCCTGACTTCCCTCGGTGAGGGACCATAACCTGGGGTTCTGAGAGGAAATAAGTGCAAGCACATCCTCGCTTGCATGCTCGCGTGCATGCCGTGGCTTGAGTGTGGAGTCCCGACATCCTACGTTTTCTCAAGCTAACTTTACGATCTTAACTTTCACACTTGAGCCTTTAAACCGTGCAAAGCCTGTCTTCTACGTGGTTTCAAGTTGAGAGACCCACGTCTCTCCTTCCCAAAGTTAGTTTCTGTCACCACCTGGGACAAACCTCCCCGGGGCTCGGTGGGGTGTGGTGTTTATCTCATATTAACATATTAAAGTACAGACTTTCCTAAACTCCCACCATACGCCATTGGCCTTGTCTTTGTTACCTGCCAGCACCTGGCACGACGATGATGTTTTTATTGGCTTTGTGGCAGATCCGGTTCTACCGGTAGGGCAGGAACCTCTACTTCGCCTTCCTCTCAAAATAGCCTCAGTTTTCAAAGGCCACAGCCACACACCTGTAACCCCAGCACATTGGGAGGTGAAGGCTAGGAAGTTATATAGCAAAAATCCTTTTTTTCCCCCTCCATGAACAACGTGAATGATAACTTTTCACACACGCGCTTGTGGGACTCCCCATCTACCTCTAATAAAATGTGAGCTTCATAAGGGAGGTTGTTCTGTATCATTCTCAGGCACGTACGAGAACGGCCCAAGGTAGCTCCCTGGACAGTTATTAAGAAAACAAATAAAATGCCTTCTTGTATAGGTGTACTTTTTCGAGACAGGGTTTCTCTGTGTGTCCTTGGCTGTCCTGGTCCTGGTCCTCTTCTATCTCAGCAGGTGGAAGGCAGGCAGATGGTCTAGGACATCAAGGCCGTATATACTATCTGGCTCCTCCTAGGAACAGTAAGCTCATTGCTCGATACACTACAATTTAGTTCGCAGTCACAGGTAGTCATGCACACGAGTGTTCTTTTATTATGTTTGTTGAGGCAAAGTATCACTCCAGCCTAGAATGCTCTAGCTCAGGCTGGTCTTGAACTCATGGCAGGACACCTGTCTCAGCCTCCCAAGTGGAAGAGCGCTCCCAGGTGGTAGAGCACAATGTTGGGGTTCAGACCTGGGACAAGCAATTGAGATGCTATATAACCAAAGTGGACCTGGCCTCCAGGTTCTCCCAGCATCCCTTAGTCCCTACTTGAACTTCCCCTGAGAGACTCTTCACTATATAATCCAGACATTTTGGTGTCTCTCTCTCTCTCTCTCTCTCTCTCTCTCCTCTCCTCTCTCTTTCTGAGTATTTCCTCTTTCCTCTCTCTGTGTGTGCTGTCTCTGTCGACCCCTCTCCCCTTTCTGTCTCCTTCTGCATGGCAACCTCTCTGGCCCCATTCTTTGGGACCAGTGAACCAGCCAGAGAGCAGCTCCCCAACAAACCTAGCTTTATGCTCTAACTTAGCTTGAATTGGCTCGTTTCCTCTGTCACACTTGCCAAGCATGTTTAAGACCTGGGGTTTGCTGCTCAGTACCACAGGACAAAACAAAGAGTTTTGTTGTCTGTTCAAGACAGGGCCTCATGCAGTCCACTGTGATCTTGAACTTGATGTAGCCAGCGCTGGCTTGTAACTCTCGGCTCTCATCCTGGAGATAGGGCCCCCTAGCTGCTCTTTCCAAGGACCTGTGTACAATCTCTAGCACTCACTTGGGGGCTCACAGCTGACTGTAACTCTAGTCCTGAGCAATCCAATGGCCCCTTCTAGCCTCTGTGGGCACTACCATAAATGCTGGTGGAACACCCATACACATAAAATAAAAGTTAAAAAAAGAAAAAGAAACCTAGCCAGGTGTGGTGGCATACCTCTTTGATCCTAGCAGAGGCAGGTGGACCTCTGAGTTTGAGGCCAGCCTGGTTGACATACTGAGTTCCAGGACAGGTAGGTCTACATAGTGAGATCCTGTCTGGAAACACAAAACTAGAACAAAACAAAACAACACAAATCAAACAAACAAACAAACAAAA